TTTTTTCTCTCATTCACTGCCCTCAGAGGCACTGATGTTTATTCTGGCACGTGTATCCACGTCTCTGGGCCGGTGTTTACCTTTGTCCGTTAGTTGGACATGTTGTTTTGCACTAACTCTCCCTCCTGGATTTTCTGGTCATTTCATCAGAGTCAACGTCAATCGACCTCTTTCCTCTGTGCAGTCAGGCCCACTTTTTGAGGACTCCTGTTGTTTACCTTTCTCCACTAAATGTTACTGCTCCCTCATACTTCTCAGGTAATTCCATTCTCTCTAGCGACATAATTACCTCGGATGCCACTCATCTAGGTTTGTTTCCGCAATTTTATAGGGCAAATCCAGCTAATTTGCAGGTTTATGCATGGGGAATTTATACTCCAACTTCTTCACATCTGGTTTCTACCATCATCATTTGACAATGTAGCCCCTTTCTGTAACCAGCACCGATTACTGTTCTTTTCATTCACTCAGTAATGCATCCTGACATTGCTATTTCGGTTGGGTTTGCCTCTGCTGTGCTTACAGCCTCTCCATGTTAACGCCAGTTGGAGTGTTCCAAAAAAATTAGTGGCTGAGACCTTGAGAACCTCGTTAGAAATTTATTCTTAAACACAGCCTGTGCTACTTAATTCTGTACTTCAGTAGCGTGGAAAGCTGTGAATTTCTCGCGTGTTTTTGCAGTTGCAAAGTCCATTTTGCTGTTAGGAATCAGTATATACTAAAGGTAAGGTTGATGTTACAAAAATCTACAGCTAAATTACTTTCCGAAATTATTATGTAGGCATAATGAATCTTGCTAGTTGTTAAGGCTGGTCGTCAGATTTCCATGAGAATTTGGAGGTTCTGTTAGCACTCCATCCCTACATTCTACCTGATATTGCAGGTTTCGCTAGTGAATACAAATTTCTCACCGTAGAATTATTGCAACGCTAGTATGTAGAACGAGTGTGCTGTGTCAAGACATTCGACAAAACCTAAAAAGGGTAAAGGAAGAGATAACGAAAGAGTGGTATGCTTGCTAGGAAGTACAGCTTCCAAGGAATTGGACAATGTGTTCTATCAAAGAAAGGCAAGAATTTTTACGCGTTTACCTAGTTTGTCCAAATAGACAACACAAATTTTTCTCATGAGTGTGCAATTCCAGTTGATTTTCAGAATAATTTACCCTTTGTCATGGAGTTATTCACAGAAGAACAAACAAATGCGTGTTTACATTAGTTGGGGCAGGCTTAAACGACTCACAACAAGTTGGCATGAGCTAAATTTTCACTTTTTTCAAACTACATTTCATGGATTCCCCGCCGAGAACTTGGACTTCCAGTGGGTCGATTTAGTCTCGTGACAGTTTCAAACGTACCCTCACCATCATGCCATCATCGGCGGGAGCCAAAAAGTCACGAAAAGCCGCCTCAAAGGTCTCTAAAAAGGCGCGGTCAAAAGCTACATCGGAAGATGTGGATCCTTCTGCTCTTGATGTGGGTGCATCTGAGGGGCGAACCACTTTTGAGGAAGGTGAGATGCTTGGCGACGAGGAAGGTGCAACGGAATATCAAATGGCAATGGAGGGTAATGAGATTCAGAGACAATCGGAGACCATAGAGCGTGGAAACACCGAGACCGAGGGAGTTGAAGAAGAAGTGGATGAAGAATTTCACCGAAGCAGTCTTGACGGTCCAGCACCAACGCCTTTATTGGAGGATGGTTTCGATGGTGTCCCTCAACCAAACGACCTCGAAGTAGCACTCAAGATGGCCCTGGAACGCCTCGAAAATATGCCGATGGTGGATTTCTTGCAAAATATCTCCAAACAAGCCGATGTTCACGCTCAGGCGGTGTCATCAGCAAAGGAAATTGCCAATGATTTTGTTGCAAATGCTGCTGACCTTGCCGAGGCTATGCAAATGATCCTTCAGTACGATCAACTCATGCTAAAGAAACTGAACCTCACAAGTCCCTACGATTTCGGAGTTAAGCCCAAGACGGTTGAAGGTGAGTTCAATTTCGGTAACAGGAAAATAATTCCTCCGCCTTACTGTAGTGTCTTGGAGGTTAATTCTTCTGTAAGTGACAAGTGGCAATCTTAATCAACCCAGCAACCTAATTTGGCGGTTTTTTTAACATGTCAAATCTTTTACTTCAGAAACTCGGGCAGTAATGATTGACCGAGCCCAGAAGATGCTAGACCTGGGTCAAATGCAATACGACATGAGTCACCAGATCAGTGAAACTGCAAGACCACTAGTAGACTACAGATTTGAGGCTTGTGATAACTTTAATGCTGTACATGAAAAGATATCATCTATGAAGGCAACTGAAGAATCACGCAAATTAGCCCGATTGGCCAAAGCAGCCAGAGCGGAGGTGGAAGAAAGAGCAGCTGCTAATGCAGCAAGAAATGACGGTGCCGAAGGTGTTGAAGCCAACGCAGAAGCCACGAATCCCACGGAAGAAGGTCAACCACCAAAAGATAATCCCAATAACGACGCTAATCCCACCTCTGGCAACTGATTTTTGACCCATGCCGTTGTACAGGTTCTCTTGAAGCTTTGGAATATGGTAGCTTATATTTATGATTAACTCTTCAGTCTTGCATCAGCATTGATAGGTGCATCTAGAGTTGAGATGTTGAGTGGTACATACACTATGCATGTGCAGTGAGTTGCCTTTTAGGCACTTGATTATCTATGCCACCAAAAGGAGGACTATTTGCATTCTGTAAAGTTATTTTACGCATTCATTCACATGCATTCAATATACCTACGTATGCTTCCATTCCGTTAGCCACGGAGCCATCACCTCCTGATCTACCTAATTCCATCAAATCCATTCTGAATTGGTCACTCGTGGACAAAAATTACTTGTCTGCTTGCCTTGGAGTTGAATTCTCCATCCCAACATATCTGATTTGACTATCAACCAATCACAGAACGGATAATGAGGCGCTGTGATTGGTTAAAGTTCGATAACAAATGTATTGATCACTACACAAGCAACCTATCCATCTACTTGCCGATTCATCTGTAGTCCGTCATTCCACCAACTTATCTAGCCAAATATGCTTCCCTTGGGTAAATGCTCGCTCTTGAACCATCCGTCTCTTCTCTAAGTCGTTCCTGATAAGTCCCTTCAGAAGATGGCAGATTTCGACGAGTCGATTGACTTTATAACCTGAAAGGTAAGGCTAAAACAGAGGGCAAAACAGAAGCCAAGCTTCAATCAAGCATTTGTTAAATGTTCTGATGACCCCGTTTGGATGCATTCAACTCTGGTTGCGAGTTCAATAGTATTACATGTGTATAGATTTGCGGTTGAGACGAGGTCAAAAATGCTGTCTTTCCATCCGTTCACCTTTTAGCTTTTCAGCCTATAAGCATAACCAGTATGCAACGTGTGGGTGGTAAATGGGCTTTCGGTGGTCCAACCTTTCCACAGATTAAATGTTAGGATGTCTTTTTGCTCTGACTCCCTCTCCCCTCTCCTCCTCTCCCTCCTTTTCCTACTCTACGGAATCGTTGCATAGGCAGTCCATTCTTTCGCCCCTTCACCCCTTTGGTGTCATTACAGTGCTCAAATGAATTTACCGAAAACGCCTGTATTGAAATTGCATGAGGTCGAAAACTGGCACAATAACATTTCCAACCTGGGTAAGTATTGGCAGCCTGAAGCCTCT